CCCCCCCGGCAGAAGAAGAGGTAAACCTTTCAAATTATTCTTTTACCTTAGGGATTAAGGGATTTCATCGCTATTTGGTCTGGAACATCCTTGGGCCAAGGGCAATCTGTTTTGTATAAACGGTGAGTGTGGCTCCCCTAGGACCAGAGAAGAGGGGCCCAATAAGGGAAATAGAGGTATATTAAAATCCTTCTTCTTGCGTAGGGATGAAGGGATTTTATCCTTATTAAGTCTGAAACATTCTTGGGCCAAGGGGACTCAATTTTGTATAAACATTGGGTGTAGCCTCCTTTGGGGCAAAGGGGTGGGGAAAAATTGGGAAAACAGAGTTAAACCTTTAAAATTATTATTCTAGGGAGTAAGGGATTTCATCCAAATTTGATCTGGAGCATCCTTAGGCCAAGGGGACTCAATTTTATATTAATGGTGGGTGTGGCCCCCCTGGGGGCAGTGGAGCGGGTCCCAATAGGGGAAATAGAGCTGAAACTTTTAAAATCATTCTACTTCCATTGGGATTAAGGGATTTCATCCCAATTTGGTTTGGAGCATCCTTAGTTCAAGGGAAGTCACTTTTGTATAAAGGGTTGATGTGGCCCCCCTTGGAGCAGAGGAGTGTTTCTCCCATCCCTCACATGTCTGTCTCCCGTTTTAGCCGGGAAATAACAGCTTGTCACCCCCTAGGGGGAGATAGCCTCGTGCCGATTAGCATGTGGTTATTGTGACGTCATAAAAAGAGAATGACGATATGCATACCCCACATGTGTTTTTGTTTACAAACATGGCAGACTACTGTCGATGAAGTTGTGACTGAAATAATAGGATGGGAGAAAAATAATCATCCCCTACCTTGAGGGTGTAACATAGAAATCTCCAACCGTTTTTTGGGGTTTTCTAACCCTCTGCACAACCTCGGGTTAGACAACCAAAATACATCGCCCTCAGGTTGGAGATTTCTCTGTCACACCCTCAAGGTAGGGGAATTAAGATTCTATTAGTCCAAATAGGGAAAATAGATGTAAACATTTCAAACAGGGATAAAATGTCAACATGGACTTTAATAAGTAAATATCTACAAGAAGCCTCTTTTTCAGTTCCATTATATAAAGACACTGGGTCCTGATAGTCAGCCAATAGGTACCTGCTGGTATACTACAGTGCTATAAAGTCCCCGCATATATATGACCTTGAGCTTAATTAACCTACTTTCAAGGTCATAAGGGACATATATGTCAATAATCAATTATCCCAGGGCCATGATACAAGGCTGGCAGAATGCCGGATTTACCAGTAATTAGTGAGATCAAGTCTGTTCAAATGAATAACCTTGATCTACTTCTCTGTCAGTTTTCCCAATTAATATATATTGCGCAGAAATATTGTAAAGTGTTTTTCTGTGGATTCCTCCACTCTAAAATAATATTTGGCCTGTATCTATCAAGTGTGTTTAGGTAAATAAAAACTTTGATTATCTATATCAAGGTATAGAGTGATATTAAATACAATCAACTTTAAAGGTCACAGATTTGTTTGCAAACCGACAGCACTGAAAGGTAGCTGATTGGTAGTTGAGTTGTATAGGACCATTTGGTCTCGAAATTATTATCCTGTGAATGTCACACAATCTGTAGTCTAGACATTTTACTTATAATTCTGTGAATGTCTCACAATCTGTAGTCTAGACATTTTACTTACAATCACATGAATGTCACACAATCTGTAGTCTAGACATTTTACTTACAATCACGTGAATGTCTCACAATCTGTAGCCTAGACATTTTACTTATAATCCTGTGAATGTCACACAATCTGTAGTCTAGACATTTGACTTATTATCCTGTGAATGTCTCACAATCTGTAGTCTAGACATTTTACTTATAATTCTGTGAATGTCACACAATCTGTAGTCTAGACATTTTACTTATAATACTGTGAATGTCTCACAATCTGTAGTCTAGACATTTTACTTATAATCCTGTGAATGTCACACAATCTGTAGTTGGTTTGTAATCATGATAAGTTTCCTTTGTCTCTGATTTCCATGTCATTGTCATGGTAACTAGATATACTAGTTGTTTGGTTACAGGTGTCACACACTGCTGTACTGTAGTAGTTTGACTTTGTTATACCCAAACAATGCCCACAGGACATCCTCCCTGTCTATACCTACAGCCACTGTACAGTCTGTGTCTGTGTGTATGACCCTGAGGAACTCACCACCTCCACTGATGAGTAGGACCCTGTGGTTGATACAGTCCCCTATGATCAGGTTCCCCACACTGTCATACACCACATCCCAGGGGTTAAATGGTTTACCTCCTGTGTGTGGTGTTGGTTTATATGTACTGGGGATGTCACCTCTATACACAAACAGTTCCTTGAAATCAGTGTCCATCACAACAACATGTATGTTTTCATCACCACCATCACTTTCACTACTGAAATCAGTGACTGCCACATTGTGAGTGACAGGACACTCTGTGATACTGTTTGGTGTACACACTAATGGTTTCCCAGTCCCCTTAGCCATTGTAGTACACACCATTTTACCATCTGTGGTAAATTTGGAGATGTGTTTGGTCATCCCTACAATGACATGGTTACTGGCTGTAATACATATACACCTGGGAAACTCCTTGGTACTGAATCTGTGAGTCAGTCGTCCTGATACCAGCTCCATGATGTTGTTTTTATGATCACAGAGCCACAGTGTGTGTGTGGTGGGTGACAGACTGATGTCACTGATCCCGACATTGTGTTTGACCTTCTGTATTTCTTTACCATTCCTGTCCAGGAGAGTTAGTGTGTACCAGTCCCTGGTCCACACCTGACCATCAGTGGTGGGACATATAGAACCAATGATAAATGGAGGGTCCCACTCCTCCACTACCTTGGTCTGTGGCAGTAGTTTGTATGTTGTCACTGCTTTCTTCCCTTTTGCTCCTGACTGTTGTTGTTGTGTAGAGGGTTGTCCCTGATCATCAGATGTTGAGACTGACCGATCCTGGTCAGTTAAAGTTTGACCTTGACCTGAGGTGGTAACTTTTCCCAAGGCTTTTTTCAAGTGATCTTGAGGATTTTCATTTGGAGTGAAGTTGGCAGTACCCAAGACAGGTTTTACAGGAAGACTGTGTGTAGGAGACTGGATCTCACAATATGTATCATAAATCTGTATGTGTGAACCACGCTGGAGAGCTGCTTTACATTCTTGAACTTGTTGTTTGAGTTGCTTCTCGTACATCTCCAGGTCCTGTTTGTATTTATTTATCAGTTTGGTATTATCCTCTTCCATTTTGTGGTAAAGAGAGAGTGTCTGTTCTGTAAGCATATCCAGCTCTTGTTTTAATTTATCTGTTTGCAATTTTAACTTTTGTGACAGCTTCTCAAATGTACTGGTGTTGTCTTTAAGGAGCGTATCAGTAGAGTTGATGTATTTTCCAATTTGCACAAGGTCATTTTTTTCTGTTCTGTCTATAAAGTTTTTAATGTCTAGTGCTTTCTGGGGAGTGATTTCACTTAGGTCACTAACTGGATGGGTTTTGTGAATAGAAGAAAAGCATTTTGGACAAACCGGTTCCTGACACTTTTCACAATAAAATTCTAGTTTTCTCCCCTTGTGGTGAATGCATGTCGTTTGACCTTTATTACGGAGAGGTATTTGGCTAATAGGGGATGCCATTTTCATAAAAAAAAACTATTTTTGTTTGTTGAAGTCTTGAAGATGTTTATTGTTCTTGTATAAACATATTGTTATCAGTAAACACTCACAAATTAGAGTTTGTTATGTTAAAAATGAAAACTTGACTTGAATGTCCCATCCAGTAGTATATGTTTGTTAAACTTATAGTAATGTAAAACACTGCAGGATATATAACTACCTCACGATCACTGATGCCACAGGGTTACTGTGATGATGAATCCAGGTTTACCGTTCCACGCATCAGAAGGTTCACGTATCATTGTCCATATTTATCCAGCCCTGGGATTCACAATCAGATGTTGAACTTCCCTCTAGCTTTGCTGATAAATCTGTCACTTTCCTGCGGACATTGTAAAAGTTTGATCAAAACTTAAAGTCAAATGTTCGGCTGAATTTGACCATGCTGCTGACTAGTTAATAATATCAACAAATATCTGCTCTGGATACGCCCATCACTGCGGCATTGCGTAGATCTACCTGTTTAGACCTGCAGTTGTACTTCCCTGTTGTACGTAGTAAATAACTTCCCTGTGGAGCGACAGGAAACCGACAGACTTACACTGATAATAAAGACATAGTTAGTGAAGTAGGTCAGTGTAGATTGGCCACATACAAGCCTATACAAAACAGCACTGTACATCAACGAAGGAAATGTACAACGTTTGTTGGGAACATGAATTGTTACAGCCTCTACAATTTGAATGCAGAATCTCAATGCCACTTATTGTAGAATTTTACAGTGATGGAGCATTCTGTTTTATATTTGTTTTTTAAAGCTGATCTGTTTAGTTTTGACAGATTTCGGTGGGTTTTTTTCTAGTCAAAGTTTACTTTTGGTGTGTTTTTTTATGAAAAATTTGACCAAAATTGAAACTTCAAAAATCAAATTTAGAATTTGCATGCTTAAAATTTGTTAAATAAAATAAATAGTATCTATCTGTTTTATTTTCCTTTATTTGTTTCTGAGCAGTTAATTACACATGAAAAAGACCTTGGCAGTCAATCGTTCACAAATACACATGTACAGCACATACCAAAAATAGGAGTTTTATTTCCGGTTCTTGTTGATGTAAAATCCCGTTTTATATACCCTCCTATACAGTTGAAATAACTTCCTTGCCCCATATATGTAACTTTTTTATTTTGTAATTGCATTTTACTGTATTCTATTCTAAAGATTTTTCTACTGTTCTGTAAGTATTATGCTTGCTGCACCCAAGGTGGGTGGAGATCCCTTTTTTCTTGCTCTATCTTTGGTGGGTGGTATACTTTATCTTGTTATACCTGAAGTGCTGACCTTTGGTCACGTTATTACACCCTGGAGCAATGGATTCATCCTTGAAGTTGTAAGGGTTATACGTATACTCTCCTATGTTCTCTGCACCCCTGGAATATGTCTTGACAAAATCGAAGACATTTAGTTAGCAATTTTATGGGTTTCAGGTTAAAAAACCTGACCAATTACTACGCTCATTCCTGTCCTTTAGGATTACAGAGGACCATCACCCAGCTTCAAAATTGGTCAAGTTTACCGTTACGCTGATGAGCATTTCTTTTGATGTACATCTACATCAAAGGACCAAACTGTTATACTTGTATCATACACGAGTTGGTATGTACAGATTTTTCCATTTTGTCATGACATGATATTCCAGGGATGAAGGGAGCGTTACCCCTGAAATGTTGAAAATGGGACGGGTTGCTCCCTTGGTGGACAGACTGGTCTGTCGTTTGCCTTTCCTTTGTTTTATGCTAAAGTAGGTATAGGGGGATAGACTAGTCACCGTCATCTTGTACAATCCTATGTAGGCCGAGCTATCATTATACACTAAATGGGTGGATCTGTCACCGTCATCTTGTACAACCCTATGCAGGCCAAGCTGTCAGTATACACTAAATGGGTGGATCTGTCACCATCATCTTGTACAGCCCTATGTGGGCTGAGCTGTCATTATACACTAAATTGGTGGATCTGTCAGTGTCATCTTGTACAACCCTATGTAGGCTGAGCTGTCGTTATACACTAAATGGGTGGATCTGTCATCGTCATCTTGTACAACCCTATGTAGGCCGGGCTATCATTATACACTAAATGGGTGGATCTGTCACTGTCATCTTGGTCATCTTGTACAACCCTATGTAGGCCGAGCTATCATTATACACTAAATTGGTGGATCTGTCACCATCATCTTGTACAACCCTATGGGGGCTGAGCTGTCATTATACACTAAATTGGTGGATCTGTCAGTGTCATCTTGTACAACCCTATGTAGGCCGAGCTGTCGTTATACACTAAATGGGTGGATCTGTCACCGTCATCTTGTAGAACCCTATGTATACCGAGCTATCAGTATACACTAAATGGGTGGATCTGTTACCATCATCTTGCACAACCCTATGTAGGCCGAGCTGTCGTTATACACTAAATGGGTGGATCTGTCACCGTCATTTTGTACAACCCTATGTATACCGAGCTATCAGTATACACTAAATGGGTGGATCTTTCACCATCATCTTGTACAACCCTATGTAGGCCGAGCTATCATTATACACTAAATGGGTGGATCTGTCACCGTCATCTTGTACAATCCTATGTAGGCTGAGCTGTGATTATACACTAAATGGGTGGATCTGTCACCATCATCTTGTACAACCCGATGTATGCCGAGCTGTCATTATACACTTAATGTTAGGATCTGTCACCGTCATCTTGTACAACCCGATGTATGCCGAGCTGTCATTATACACTAAATGGGTGGATCTGTAACCGTCATCTTGTACAACCCTATGTAGGCAGAGCTGTCATTATACACTAAATGTTAGGATCTGTCACCGTCATCTGGTACAACCCGATGTATGCCGAGCTGTAATTATACACTTAATGTTAGGATCTGTCCCCGTCATCTTGTACAACCCGATGTATGCCGAGCTGTCATTATACAATAAATGGGTGGATCTGTCAGTGTCATGTTGTACAATCCTATGTATGCCGAGCTGTCATTATACACTAAATGTTAGGATCTGTCACCGTCATCTTTTACAACCCGATGTATGCCGAGCTATCATTATACACTAAATGGGTGGATCCGTCACTGTCATCTTGTACAACCCTATGCAGGCCAAGCTATCAGTATACACTTAATGGGTGGATCTGTCACCGTCATGTTGTACAATCCTATGCAGGCCAAGCTATTAGTATACACTAAATGGGTGAATCTGTCACCATCATCTTGTACAACCACCGTCATCTTGTACAACCCTTTGTATGCCGAGCTGTCATTATACACTAAATGGGAGGATCTGTCACCGTCATCTTGTACAATCCTATGCAGGCCAAGCTATTAGTATACACTAAATGGGTGGATCTGTCATCGTCATCTTGTACAATCCTATGTAGGCCGAGCTATCAGTATACACTAAATGGGTGGATCTGTCAGTGTCATCTTGTACAATCCTATGTATGCCGAGCTGTCATTATACACTAAATGGGTGGATCTGTCACAGTCAGCTTGTACAACCCTATGAAGGCCGAGCTGTCATTATACACTAAATGGGTGGATCTGTCACCGTCATCTTGTACAACCCTAAGTAGGCCGACTTGTCATTATACACTAAATGGGTGGATCTGTCACAGTCATCTTGTACAACCCTATGAAGGCCGAGCTGTCATTATACCCTAAATGGGTGGATCTGTCACAGTCATCTTGTACAACCCTATGTATAGGCCGAGCTGTCGTTATATCCTAAATGGGTGGATCTGTCAGCGTCATCTTGTACAACCCTATGCAGGCCAAGCTATCAGTATACACTAAATGGGTGGATCTGTCATCGTCATCTTGTACAATCCTATGTAGGCCGAGCTATCACATTCTACACTAAATTGGTGGATCTGTCAGTGTCATCTTGTACAGCCCTATGCAGGCCAAGCTATCAGTATACACTAAATGGGTGGATCTGTCACCGTCATCTTGTACAACCCTATGTATAGGCCGAGCTGTCATTATATCCTAAATGGGTGGATCTGTCAGTGTCATCTTGTACAACCCTATGCAGGCCAAGCTATCAGTATACACTAAATGGGTGGATCTTTCACCATCATCTTGTACAACCCTATATAGGCTGAGCTGTCATTATACCCTAAATGGGTGGATCTGTCATCGTCATCTTGTACAACCCTATGAAGCCCGAGCTGTCATTATACCCTAAATGGGTGGATCTGTCACCGTCATCTTGTACAATCCTATGCAGGCCAAGCTGTCGTTATACACTAAATGGGTGGATCTGTCACCGTCACCTTGTACAATCCTATGTATAGACCGAGCTGTCATTATACACTAAATTGGTGGATCTGTCACCATCATCTTGTACAACCCTATGTGGGCTGAGCTGTCATTATACACTAAATTGGTGGATCTGTCACCATCATCTTGTACATCCCTATGTAGGCTGAGCTGTCGTTATACACTAAATAGGAGGATCTGTCAGTGTCATCTTGTACAACCCTATGTAGGCTGAGCTGTCGTTATACACTAAATAGGTGGATCTGTCAGTGTCATCTTGTACAACCCTATGTAGGCCGAGCTGTCATTATACACTAAATGGGTGGATCTGTCATCGTCATCTTGTACAATCCTATGTAGGCCGAGCTATCAGTATACACTAAATGGGTGGATCTGTCACCATCATCTTGTACAACCCTATACAGGCTAAGCTATCAGTATACACTAAATGGGTGGATCTGTCACCGTCATCTTGGACAACCTTATGTAGGCTGAGCTGGCATTATACACTAAATGGGTGGATCTGTCATCGTCATCTTGTACAATCCTATGTAGGCCGAGCTGTCATTATACACTAAATGGGTGGATCTGTCATCGTCATATTGTACAATCCTATGTAGGCCGAGCTATCAGTATACACTAAATGAGTGGATCTGTCACCGTCATCTTGTACAACCCGATGTATGCCGAGCTGTCATTATACCCTAAATGGGTGGATCTGTCACCGTCATCTTCAAGTTAAAGTTTTATCTGAACTTTAGGCCATTGGCCCATCAGTATACAAATACATATTATACACAAATCATGGACAATGTACAGAGAATGAAGACAATCATATTCCATTATAATAACCTTAATTTGTTTGCCTCATAGATGACTTCTTCCATTTATAAATATTCAATTCCCTTTGCCCAAAGATTCTCTAGAACAAGTTTGGTTAGGTCAAAATCCCTTCAACGGTACAGAAGGAGAAGGATCTTTAATGTTTTCCTCTATTTCCCCTAATGGGCCCCACTCATCTGCCCCAAAGAAGAGGGTCCACACACCGCAGTTTAAACAAAATTGATTCTTTTGTCCCTAATCATGCTTCAGAATGCATTTGGTTTAAATCCCTTCGCTTGTATAGCAGGAGAAAAAAAATCCTCTATTTCCCCTATTGGGCCCCGCCCCTCCGTCACCAGAGGGGCCACACCCTCCGTTTATACAAACTTGAGTCTCCTTTGTCGAAAGATGCTCTAGGACATATTGGGTCAAAATCCTTCTATTGGTTGAGAAGAAGAGTTTTAAAGATTTACCTATTTTCCCCCTATTTGGTCTCGCCCCTCTGCCCCCCAGGGGGACCATACCCTCCGTTTATATAAAACTGAGAACCCTTTGGCCAATGATGCTC